AAAAGCTACACAGTATCACAGTTGAAGCCAGTAATTGAAGATGAAGGTAACGAAGAAGTTACATACGACGTTGAAGCAATTGTAGCTCACAAAAAGGATCCTAAAACAAATAAGTATATATATAAAGTCAAATGGTTAGACTATGACTCGTCGTATAACACTTGGGAACCCGCTGATAATTTTTATAGTCAAAAACCTATAGAAACATATTGGAATAAGATTAATGAATCACCACAAAATGAACAAGTACAAAGTACAAAACAAAGAAAAAGAAAAAGTGGACAAACAATTGGTACCAACAAGAAAAGAAAAAATAAATAAGCCACTACAATATGTTCCCATAAACAAATATAAACAATGTAGAAGTAATGATCTACACTGGAAGGGGGTAGTGTGGTAATTCAACACTTAAAGATTTAGATTAGAGTTTAGAATATTGATAATCCGATAGTGGAGATCAGATTACAGAGTAATCTGATAGTTTATTTATAAAAAGAGTTTTTTATAGGACTTGTTCCTTTTTCTCTTTAACTAAGTTTTATTAATAAAATTCTTACGTTTTGTCTCGTTACATATTAAGACTCATACAAATACCACATGTGTGAATATATGTCAACGCTCTATGATCAGTGTATAGTGTAAATGGTTGACCCCACAAGTACTTATGATATTTCTTCAAGGCGAAAACGATGGCCAATAATTCTCGCTTGTTGGTACTACAGTATAATTCCTTTCTGATTTAGACAAAGATCGTGCCATGTATCCAATGTGACGTTCTTTACCTTGGATCCTTTGGAACAAGGAAGCACCTATGCCGTAGTTGGAAGCATCTGTAGCTACGTAGAAAGGTTGACTTAAATCAGGGTAATGTAAAAGAGTATTGGATCTCAAAGCCTGTTTAATCATATTAAAATGTTTTTCATGAACTAATGTCCATTCTTTATCGGTGATAGTCTTGGTGTTTCGTAGAGCATCTAATGGTGCAGTCATAGCCGCGATATTTGGTAGATGTACTCTAAAGTAATTGACAATGCCTAGGAATTGTTGTACTCCATGACCGGAAGTTGGACGTGGCCACTCTAGTACATTGGTTACTTTTCGAAAGTCAAGATCATGTCCTTTATCTGATATGCAGAATCCGAGTAAGTAAACGCATGTTTGTGCAAAATGACATTTTTTCGGATTTAAAATCAAATTAACATTTGTTAATGCTTTGATTGCTGTAGCGACATGTTCCATATGATCTGACATGTTAGGTGAATGGACAACAACATCATCTACAAACGTTTGGACGTGTGGTATATGTCTGAAAATGTGATGCATAACCCTTTGGAATTTGGATGATAATGGTTTCAAACCGAAAGGACACCCTTGGAACATATATTGACGATTTTTATGTGTAAAGGTGGTTTTATGCTGATCATCAGGGTGTATTTTGAATCTATGAAAGGCACTCTTTAAGTCCAATGTAGTGAACACTTTCGACCCATGCATATTTTCAAAGATATCACTGATTAATGGTAAAGGATATACATCATCTTGCAAGTGTTTATTAATGTGACGAGGATCAAGGCAAGGTCGATGACCAGTGACTTTTCCATGTTCATCCTTCTTTGGTGCCAATGTAATAGGACTATTCCATGTGGTATTGACAGGTGCAACGACGATAGTTCCCTCTTCTAGCCAGTTTTGTACAGCTTCATCTACCAATGGTTGCAATTTAAATGGAATTGGATATTGGCGATGATTTGTTCTATCTGTGGGCATGGTAGGTGTATCGAGTTTAACGATGGATATATCAAGTGTACAGAAAGAAGTTTTTGGAATGCTCTGATTCTTTTTGATGTATGGTGTTATAGCCTTCATAAACAATGATTGTTTTTCGGCATTACCTGCAGGCGAGTTATTTGGTTGTGATGGATCATCTAGCCTTTGGTTCTCCTTGTTTGGTTGTACCTTATTATCATCCCAATTGTAAGCAAGACCGAGGAACCCAATTTTTAATTTTGGTATTAAATCTCTGCCGATCAAGATGGTATAGTGTTCTGATATCATATCCATTATGTGAAATGAATGTGTAAGCTTTAAATTGTTATATTGTATGTGTAAACGTTCAGTAACACCTATTGGTTTTGTTACTTTATCTTTCTCTGCAAGATTCAAAATGATATTTGATGGACTAAATTTTATTTTATTGCTTTTTATAAATTGATGACTAATTATAGAAACGTCGGCTCCTGTATCAAGTAAAGCAAATGTCCTTTCATTCTGTATAAGCAAAGGTAAAATATAAGGATTGTTATTAGGGTGTTTGTGAGATATCATATTAATATTTTTATGATTACCTTCCATAGCATCATTGTATGCGTTGATTGCAACTGATTGCATGGTTACATCCAAGTCCTTAAGAGCTGCATCTGCTGGGTGTTGAGTAGGAGCAGCTGTGATGGTCTTTACGTTGGTTTGATTCCTTTTTTCCAACATTTCATTGCAACGGTGTCCTCTAAAGTAAGGTTCTTTTTTGCAATGGTAGCAAAGTTTGGTGTTGTTGTTGTTATTCATCGTGTTACCCTTAGGCGCTGATGCTGTAACACTTACCTGTCTTGCCTTGCAGTGTTCTGTGGTGTGGCTTGCGTTGTATTTGTGTATGTCACAGAAATAAGCCTTTTTGTTGACCTTTGTTTTGGCCTTTTTGCTTGTTCTTTCTTGTGGTTGTTCCATACCTGAAAACGCGCGCTTTTGACTCGACATTTTATTTGCCAAGTGTAACACTTCATCAGCAGTAGCAGGTAAGTCATTCTTACCATTTGGTCTAGCTTGGTATGCAACTAACACATTATATTGCAATGCCTTAGGTAATGCCTTCAAGCATAGAATGGCCATGAACTCATTGTCTTCCCAGCCTGCATCACGGTAAGTGGATTGAAAGCGTAAGCCAAAATCAATGACTGTTTCTCTCTCTTCCATGGTTATATTACAAACTGACAATGCACTTAGAATGCGACGATCCTTAGTATCAAACTTGTTGATAAGGGTTTTCTTCGCCTCACTCCAATTCATTCCCTTTCCTTTGATATTATCGTTGAACCAGACGTCCAACTCATCACCATTCATTGACCAACTCAAACAGTCCTCCCGGTGATCTTCAAAGTTCAAACGGTGAACGTCCAATACTTTTTCGAATCAAACACAGGTAAGTCCTTACGGATTCTGGTTTGCCCATGAAGTTGAAAAGCAGGTATTTCCTTGAATGGTACAGTGACCTCTCTACGAGTAGGTGTTTGTACATCCAAGGTGCTTTGCAGGAGCTGGATGTGTGCTACTAACTCTTCGATTTCTCTTTTGAGTTGTTCGTAGACAATACCGTTGGTGACTCCAAGCATCGCTAATTCCATCGATTTCTTTTGCAAGCTTTCCTGTGTTGCCTTGATGAAACTAGCAATCTGAGGTTTAGGTGCGTATCTTGAAGCATTCACACCAGAGACGAAGTTACTAATGTTATCATTAGCCAGCGTTTCCGTGTGGTTGACTTCGACACCCTCATGATTGTTAGTTTCAATCTCGGGAGGAAAGATGCCTTCGTAAGGGGAGTTGATGTTGATGGATGTAGTGGTAGAGGGAGTGTTAGACATGATAATAATGATAATAATAAAATAAGGTAGAATTCACTTTAAAAAATGTTATGTTTTGGTAATCCAAATGTAAATACATATAAGACAAAAGAGACAGTATAAAAAATAAAGTGAAACTTTTGAATGGGTCTTTATTAGATATCAAAAATAGGTTGTGTATTTATAAGAACTTGTTGACTGAGCGGTGATTAAGCTGTGATTGTAATTGTTAATTAACAATGTATTGAGTGACTTATATAATCTATTGTTAGTAAAGAAAGAGGAGATTGAGTATGAATATTTAAAATAGAGTTTCTTTTATGAGTTGTCAAATACAACAGAAAGTCTTTCAAATTTGGACAACGTTTTCTAAACTGCCTTTTGACAATCCACTCTATAAATGAAATTAAAAGACAGTCGCTATATTTTTTTCTCCTTTCTTTTTCTTCGATTTTTTTTTCTCTCTGTTATTTTTTTTTCTCTCTGTTATTTTTTTTTCTTCCTGTAATTCTTTCTTTTATCATGTCTGACCACTTTCTCGAAATCACCTTAGCAGCTGTAGAAGTTCTTATTGAAGAAGATGAACAACAACAGTATGACCAACAACAACCGATTACGCGGCAACCAAGAAGATTGATGGTGCGTCGCGATCTATCACTGCTCACTGACACTGAATGTATACAGCAGTTCAGATTCACATACGCTGATGTAAGTACTGTACGTACAATAGAACTAGAATATAAAACTTTCTTCCCATTTGAGCTTACTTTTTCATAAACGATATGACGGTCTGCTGATCCTTCTTTTCGAACTTTTCTTTCCAGACATCAGGATGGGTAGATTGCAGATGATTGAGTAAAAGATACGTACTTCCCTTCGAGCAATTGAAATAGCCATTGATCTTTTCTTTTGGTTGCATTGGCGGTGCTTGTTGAGGTACTGGACAGATATTGCACATAGCAGTTTTCAGCGTGTCGTTCCAATTGACCTTCGCGAAATACTTCCAAACGGTACTTCTTTCATGACCTGTACGCAAACCGGTCAACGTTGCTGTTGTTGTAGTTGTTGTTGCCGATGTTTGACTTGAAGCGATTTCTAGGGAGTCCAGATGTAATGGGCTGCTTGTGGTGGCAACATCGTTGAGTTGACTTTGAGTTTCGTCTGAATATGACCTGTTCCAAAATAATGATTAAGAGTCAGTTAGAGTATACACTATAGTTTTGCTTTTAATTAGATCGTCCCACTGTATAATACTTACAGTACAGTTGGTGGACAAAAAAAAGTTTACACTTTTGGTCTCCGAGTCAATTCATGCCAAACAGTCCCAATAAAAAGCCTCCCTTTTTCCCGATTACCAATAATAAACATCCTTCTTTTTTTAATTATAATATGGTATTGACTACAGCAGAAAAAGCCCAAGTGGTTGCCTATGACAACGCTGGCTGGACAAAGACGAAAATTGCGAATCATTTAGGCGTTAGCAGAATGACAGTACATAAGACGATTCAAAGGTTCGAAGAAAATGGTTCTCACCAACGAAAGAAGGGTTCTGGACGTAAGTCAAAGCTAACCACCCGAGACGTTCGTAGCCTGGAACGTATTGTGAAAGGAAATCGCAGGGACACCATGGATGATATTAAGAAAAAAATGGCGATCAATGTGTCCCATCGCACCATTCGACGTCAATTGAATGAACTAGGTATACATTCACGCGTGGGAAGAAAAAAACCTTTTGTGAACGATAAACACAGACAACAACGGTTGAAGTTTGCGAGGGAGCACAAGGATTGGACTTTGGAGCAATGGAGGAGGGTACTTTGGACGGATGAGTCATCCTTTGAGAAAGGGAAGAATACCAGACAAGTTCGTGTATGGCGTAGGGCTGATGAAGCCTACAATTCTGATTGTTTGGTTGGAACACACAAAAGTGGGCGATCATCAATCATGATATGGGGTGGAATCACCTACAACAGAAAGACAGATCTAGGTTTTTTTGAGAAGGAGGGGCCGAACGATAGGAAAACACGAAGCACAGCGAATGATTTCGTTCAGCAGATATATGAGGGTCCTTTGAAGAGGTTCTGGAACGTGGATGATGGGTTGATACTGATGGAAGATGGTGCACCTATCCATAGAAGCAATGCACCTAAAGTATGGAGACAAGAGCATGGCATTGAGAAGATGGATTGGCCTGCGCAATCACCAGATCTGAATCCAATTGAAAACCTGTGGAAGCAGATGAAGGATTAGGTACAGGCTGGAGCCAGGCAAGGGATGACCATGGATGAATATAAGCAACTCATCAAAAGTGCTTGGGATTCATTTGAACCGTCCCAGTGGAATGCATTGATTGATTCCATGCCTGAAAGGATAAAGGCCGTGATCAAGAACAAAGGTGGAATTACACGTTGGTAGTGCAACAAGTTCTCTTTTTTTTTTTTTTTTTTAAATAAAGCATCGATATGTATCTTTTATTTCATGTATTGATGACCTCTCTTGTCTAGTAAATTTATTCATTCTTTGATTGTTTTATAAATGTAATGTTTATTTTTTATTAACTAAAATGGTAAGTGTAAACTTTTTTTTGTCCACCAACTGTACATTGCGAGCTCGACAATTGAATACAAGTGGTAAGGAAATAGCAAAGAAAAAGAGAGACAAAATAAAAAAGAAAAAAGATAAAAAAAAAGAGAGAGAGAGAAAAAAAAGAAAGAAAAGAAAAAGGAACAGAAAAAAAATATCTGTTAAAAAAAGACAGGGGTGACAGCGGAGATTGTCTGTGCTCCCCCTTCTTTTGTAGTAATATTTGATTAATTGCAATATGATCATATCATATTGCGTATTTTTACACCTTTGATGCAATTTGCTCTCTTTCTTTTTTTCTTAGGTACGATGAATTTAATTCTTCCTGTGGTAATTCAATACTTAGGTTGCTCTCGAGACACTCAACCGTCCCCCCTCCCGGAAATCTAGGGTGCTCTCACGATGCCATCCTCCCAACCCCCCCTCCCAAGCTGAAATTGAAAAATAGCCAATAAAAAATGTCTTACCTTTTATAGTATGGGAGTTGACTCTTTGCCTTGGGGCGAGGAATCCTCCTCCCAACAAAAATTCATCCTCCCAAAGAATTTACTAAAGTACCTTAATCCATCCATTTTAGTAAATTGTTACACGATAATCCGCAGTAGCATTGGCAAATTTTCTTTTTTTTTTTCGCGTTTCCCTCTTTTTTTATTTTTCTTCGTTTTTCTTTATTCACATTTCACTTTTTTCCAATAAATCCATTATTTTCATAAAAAAAAAAAACATTTTATTTTTATTTTTTATTTTATTTCTGATATCTATCAACAATTACTAACTATGTCCTTCCATACTTTCCGCTTCAATCTTCCTACCCAACAACAACAATCATCCGCATCGCCATCAACATCATCTATTGCTGCAACAACAACCATCACTTCATCATCATCCGTTTCCACTCCAACAACAACCATCACTTCATCATCATCCATTTCTATTCCAACAACAACCATCACTTCATCACCATCATCTGCCTCTACTCCATTGTCATCTACCCTCGTTCATCATCACTTACACCATCCTCTTCCTCGTTTATCACCTGCCCCTATTTTTCTTCCATCATCTGCACCTCCAATTATCCAACCAGTTATCCGATCGCCAACATCTTCACCACCTCCATCATCTACTCAGCGGTCATCATCATCATCATCACGATCATCCAAACCAAGTTCAAAATATACCGAAGAACAAACTGCCGTTTTGATTGATTGTTGGATTGGTAAATGGAGAGAGTATCGTCAAGGTGGAAATAACGCCATCAAGTCCAAAATCAAACGTGCTGTTCATCAATTGTACAGAGAAAGGACCGGCGACATGAATCGAACTGACAATGCTCTTGACCACAAGCTGGCTGACCTTCGAAGGGAACATACCGACCATGTCACTAAGATCAATGCTACAGGATCTGGTGGTGGACCATGCACATGGGTTCATTTTGATGCAATGCAAGCATTAGTGGGTGATGATCCTAATGTTATACCAGCAATGGAAATCGATTCTCTTAGAGACAACATTTTGGTACGAGGAAGATCGCTGCAGGAAGTTGAATATTCGTCAGAAGAAGAAGAAGAAGAAGAATCCACGGAAGCACCAGCAACAACATCAACACCAACGTCAGCACCAACACCAACACCAGCACCAACACCAGCACCAACATCAGCGCCAACATCAGCAACAAGACCATCCGGTAACGATAGGAACAGTGGGCGTCGTGTCCGAAGAAGAACCGATACAATGAGATCACTTATGGCAGACACCATGGAAAGACAACAACGTCAAATTCTTGATGAAATGCGACAAATGCAGACAGCTTTCCAAGAGCAAAGCGATCGTCGATGGAACCAGTTCTTCAGCATGTGGAGAGAATGCGAACAAAGACGTGAAGGATTCATGGAACGGTACCTGGATATACTGCAAAATGGTAGATCACAGTTGCCAACATCAACACAATCACCATCATCGTCACAATCACATCCATCATCACAGCCACCATCATCACCACAACCACCATCATCACCACAACCACCACCATCATCGCAACCACCATCATCATCACAATCATCCCACGCTTCCCCCCACAATTGATTTTTTTTATTTTTTCCCTCTTCCTTTTTTTTTTTTCCTCTTCCTCTTTTTTTTTTTCCTCCCTTTTTTATTTTTACCTTACTGCTGTATTCCCACATTTTTCTTCCAAAAAATAAAGTATAAAATATCTGCCTATCAAAAGTTTTGTAAAAAAAAAAAGTTTTATTGATCATCATCTAATAATGCACGTATTTCATCCCTTCGTCTTCTGCCCATTTCAAACAAATTTCGTCGGGTACTACTTGCCAAGTCGTGTCCACCACCGTTGTCGTTACTATCATCGTCATCGTCATCGTCATCAACAGTTAAAGATCCATCTACTTCATTCGTGCTGTCGATCGCATCAAGCTGTTGGAACTCCTCTGATTGTTGTTCTTCCAAAATGTCTTGTCGGTTCAAACAAATGTTGTGAAGAATACAACAGGCATGAATTACTCTGATCAAACGGTCTTCATTAGTCAAATAGAGGTACTGCTTCACAAATCTCCATCTTCCTGCCAACAGTCCAAAAGCACGTTCTATTGCCATCCGTGTCGCAGAGTGGACTTCATTGAATCTTTTCATCGATGCATCCGCAGTTCTAGCAAAGTATGGTGTAATCAGGTTTGGTCTCAGTGGATATGCTGAATCTACAAAAATAAAAAAGGAATTCAGTTTTTTTTTTTTTTTTTTTTTTTTCTCTCTTTATAACGACGTTGTTAGTTACTGTACCTCCGATGATGAATGTGTTGTTGGGGGTATAAATATCACTGTTGTTCAGTAGCCGATCACATAAGGAACTTCTGGAGAAGGCTCTAGCATCATGAGTTCGACCTATCAAAAAAAAAAGTCAACATCACATTTCATCCATCATCCATCATAATAATAGCGCTTTACCAGGGTTCCCAGCGTGCACATAAGTGAACCGCATATTCGCGTCACACACAGCCAAGAGATTGATAGACAAGTGATTCTTTCGGTCACGGTAGAATTCACTGTCGACACCATGAGGCTTGTGGATAACAACAAGCTTGCCATCAATCGCACCGATAACGCCAGGAAGTCGTTTCACCGTCCCATCACCAAGAAAAGCATCCGTAGCACGTTGATTATCTTCACCCATTGGCCATGCGATCACATCACGATGAGTGTCGTAGAGGGCACGAAGGAAACGCTTGGTATAATTGTGATAAGCACCTTGAGAAATGCCAAGATGAGTCCAGGCCATTCTGTATCCAAAGTGTGTGTTCGCAAATCGCCACAAAACACACGCTGTCGTATCTAGACTGATATTATTGTGTAACTTTAAGATCTCAGCTTCTTGTCATTTAAGATTGGATTAGAATAGTTTTTTCTCTTTTTTTCTCTCTCATTTTCAATTCTTATTGAAATAAACTATATCAACAGTCTCATCGTATTTTCGATTTGTCTTTTATTATTATTTTTATATTTGTTAATCCAATCAACTATCTTATTTTTTACGATGAATTCTAACAACAACAACAACAACAATAACAACAACATCAACATCAACAACGACAATATGTCGGATACCTCTGCTCCTTTCTCCATTAATGGCACCGATTTTGTCAACAACATTATCAACAACCATTTGGAACGTGATGTCATTATGACAGAACAAAACCATCAACCCTCTTCCACTTTTCAAAGTGGTTTGGGGGCCTCAACCCATGCTTCTCCTGAAGCTAGGGCCGAGTGGGCTGTCGCTGTGCTTACGCACAAGGCAGAAGAGTCTGAAGTGCTCTACACTCAAGCACTTGCTCAATTGGATAATTCTGATGAAGCTCGTGCCCATGTTCAAAAACTTTTTGAACAAGCACAAAAGGATCAACAAGCCGTCGATGATGGTCGGGCTATGTATGAACGTAAGTTCCCACATAACCCAAAGTTCTTTTCTTTCGAACGCCGTAGAGCTGAAGAAGAAAGAACAAAGGCTCAGATGATGAATCGAAGCCTCGTTGTTCCCAAATACCTTCCTCAATTAAAGCTGGTCAACAGTTATGAGGTTGGTAAAGAAATAAATGACAAGTCGTTTACTTCGACCAAACATTTTTTCAGTACGCTGGAAAAAATTTTCATTTCTCATGGTTTACAACCTGAAAATGAATTTCGTCGTTTGTTTCCAAGATGTCTTGACGGCGCTCAAACTTTCTTTTTTGAAGGTTTATTAAAGAAAATAAATGAAAAGTCAGATGGTGAAACAGAATGGGCTTTCATAAAACGTCAATTTATTGACAAATATGATACTCCAGCTCAAAAGTTTAATGCTTGGCATAAACTTGTGTCGATCAGACAAAATTCTAAAACCATCGACGAACATAATAAGATGTTCGGTAATTTGTTAACCATGACTGAATGGGAAACAATGCCTGTCTCTCTTCTTTCCAATGTAGTTTATTTAGCTACATTAAACCCAGAAATTAGAAGACAAGCAACGGAGTGGTTGATCACCCGATCTGCCCCGAATTTTGACGTTGATATTCATCAACTGATGCAAACCGTTGCTGGTATGGACATCCAAAGAACAGAAAACCCTAGAGGTTTTGCTCAAAAGCGAAACATTCAAAATGATGTTTCGTTTGTAAAGAAAATAAAAAAGGCTAATACAGTCTCTGATGGTAAAAGAACAGGTGTTCTTTGTTATAATGGTTGCGGGCAGATATACCTTCCTGGACATGTCTGTCCTAAAAAGAAACTCAACGGCCGAGATGGCAAAAACAATTTGTTCTCTCGTGCTGCTATACGAACCAAAACGGTTGTTCAAAAACAAGAAGATGCTGATGATAAGTTGAATCTTATGTCAGAATGTAAGGCTAAGAATAAGAAACAAAATTTAAGTTCAAAATAATCAAAACATTAATCAATGTCTTATTCCGATTTATTTAGAACAAAAACCTATCATGGCTTTGTTAGATGGTGGTGCAACTTTTTCTGCCATCGATGAAAATTTTTGTTTAAAAAATAATTTTAAAATAATTGTTCTAAATAATAAAAATAAAAATCCAAATGATTGTATCCATTTAGCTCATTCTGATCATGTAATTCAGCGTCTAGGTTATACAGAACCTTTAGATCTTTGTTATAACGGGAAAACTTTAAAATATTCTTTTGAAGTAATGAAATTAACCGGTGATCAACAAGTTAGTATTGGAGCTGACTTAATGCCTTCACTTGGTATTGGTTATTACGGTTTAGTACAAACATGGGATCCACTTCCTCAAAAGATGGAAGAAGACCCTGATAAAGATAAAGAAATCCCAAATGAAGCACCAGCAGGTACAAAAGAAGAACAGGAAACATTCCATCATTTTATTAAAAACAGTTTAAAACAAAATCAAGCTATCCCTACAAATGCTTTTTGTACACTCCCTGAATCTGTGATATACTTACCTATGCCTAAAGGTGTATCATGTTACAGAAGACAATACCCCATCTCTCATACATTGAAAGAAATGGTACATCAAACTGTACAAAATTGGCTGGCTGATGGCATCATTGAACCTGTTCCTGCTAACATCGATAACAAATGGAATTCACCATTAACATTAGCACCTAAAAAAGATATAAACGGTAACTTAACTGGTAAGCGACCATGTTTGGATCCTCGTCATATTAATAAATATTTACCTGATGATCGTTATCCTTTACCATTAATAAGTGATATCTTCACAAAATTGAGTGGTGCCAAAGTATTTAGTACCCTTGATTTAAAAAGTGCCTTCCATAGGTTCAAAATTCATGAGGATGATCGTCATAAAACTACCTTCACATCAGTAGACGGTAAACAATATATGTTCAGAGGTTGCCCATTTGGTTTAAAACCTATATCATCAAAATTCCAAAGGGTGATGAGTATTTTATTCACTGATCTACCATTTGTCACCACATTTGTGGATGATATCGTAGTTTATAGTGATAACATGCAAAATCATCAATTACATGTTAAAACTATAATTGATAAGTTAACTGCCGTTAACCTACTACTCAATCCAGACAAATGTCATTTTGCACAAAAATCCGTATACTTACTTGGATTCTCTATTTCAGAAAATGGACGATCACTTGATGAACGCAAACTGCAAAATATTGACATGTGGCCAACACCGCAAACAGGCAAAGACCTTCAAAGATTTCTTGGTGTAGTCAACTATTTCCGAGATCATATTCCAATGATGTCAACTGTTACCGATCCATTGAATCAACTGCGTAACCAGGATAATCTAAAAAAGAAGTGGACACCTAAGCATGAGCAAGCCTTTACAACTCTGAAAAAGCTTTTGCAAAAACATATTACCTTATCACACCCCAACTTTCAAGAGCCATTCCACGTAGCGACGGATGCATCGAACGTTGGTATTGGTGCTGTCCTCTTCCAAAAAATCCAGGGTAAAACAAACTATATTGGGTTCATGGCAAGATCATTGTCCAAATCAGAGCGTAATTACTCTACAACAAAAAGGGAATTGTTAGCAATCATCTTCGCTTTCAATAAATTCCACCAATTCCTGTGGGGTAATCCATTCACACTCTACACGGACCATAAGGCTCTGATCTATATACATTCACAGGAACATATGAACCCTATGATGACAAATTGGTTAGACACATTGCTCGACTATACCTTCACAGTCATCCATCTACCTGGTACCCATAATATTTTACCTGATTATCTTTCACGCCTTTTCCCTAGCATGTCAAGGCTGGAAGGGGGTAATAACGATAACACGTTAATAAACAGATCTGTTGAAATAAATAGTGCAGATAAAATGGAACCACCAGAAGAAGAACGTCAGGAATTATTAAATAAAGCACATCTCTTTGGTCATTTTGGTGCTGAAGCAATCGTCAAAGCTATTCATAGTAACGGTATACATTGGCCTAAATTAAAAGAACAAGCAGTTGCTCTAGTTAGTAAATGCCCTTCATGCCAAAAATATAACATAGCGAAACATGGATATCATCCTTTACGCCCAATATCCTCAAACTTACCAGGTGACCACTGGGCAATTGACCTTGCTGGACCTTTACCTACAACAAATCAAAATAATAATTATATTTTGATTATGAGAGACATCTTCTCACGCTTTGTAATAATACGGGCAATACCTGACAAAAGAGCTGACACTATAGTCAATCAACTGATTAATGTATTCTGCGATTTTGGTATACCTAAGATTGTACAATCGGATAACGGAACAGAATTCGTTAACGATATGATGAAACGATTCAAGAAAGCAGCTGGTTTTGATCACAGATTAATAACCCCATATCATCCAAGGGCAAACGGTGCAGCAGAAAACACTGTAAAAACAACTATGAATGTCCTAGAAAAAGTAATAGAAGGAAATGTGAATGAATGGGATAAATATCTTCCGTCAGTACAATTATCTATAAACAACAAAATAAGTCAAAGAACAAATACACCTCCCTTTACTATAATGTTCGGTCGTAAGCTTAATGACTTCGTCGACTTTAGGGATGAAAGTATTAAAGAAGAAATGACAGAAGAAGAAATACAACAACGTATAAAACAAATGAATGAAGTGATATTTCCAGCTATACAAAAAAGAACGCAAGAAGTAACAAAGAAACAAAAAACGAACTTTGATAACAAACATAAAACTTTTACTTTTCCACAAGGAAGCCATGTGATGATAAAAAATTCACAACGTACAAAATTGGAGCCCAGATACACTGGCCCTTTTGAAGTGATCAAACAAAATCAAGGAGGTGCATATATCCTTAAAGATCTAACAGGTGATATCCTACCAAGAAATTATACACCTTCAGAACTAAAACTCATTTCAATGGATGAAATCATACCAGAAGATGAAGTGTATGAAGTACAAGCAATCGTACAACATCGCTTAAATGAAAAAACTAATAAATACGAATATAAAGTACGTTGGAAAGGTTATACACCAGAAGACGACACCTGGGAACCACATCACAATTTCCAGGATCCAAGAATCATCACTGATTATTATAAAAGAATCGGTTTAAAGGAACCTGTTCGACCTCAAAGAAAAAATAATAAACGGAAAAGAAATTGAACAGTTCTACAACCATCACTCCTATGAATAAAAAAACCATATCCGGAATAATCATGCAGCATGATGTATAATTCATGTTTTGTTATAACATTAAAAGATACAGACAAATATATAAGAGACGTCTAACAGACTGGAAGGGGGTGATGTCGTATCTAGACTGATATTATTGTGTAACTTTAAGATCTCAGCTTCTTGTCATTTAAGATTGGATTAGAATAGTTTTTTCTTTTTTTTTCTCTCTCATTCAATTCTTATTGAAATAAACTATATCAACAGTCTCATCGTATTTTCGATTTGTCTTTTATTATTATTTTTATATTTGTTAATCCAATCAACTATCTTAGATGCACCTCGCGAGTTATTACTACGTTGACGAGAACGACCGTCAATGACAAATTGAAAAGTATTATTTTGTTGAGACATGATTGTTGAGAGATTAAGGAAATAAGAGATAAAAAAAAAAAAAAAAAAAAAAAGGGGGGGGGGAGAGTATATATTTTTTATTTTGCACGATCTAATGACGGAGAGGGTAGGATAGAAGTGACAAATCTAAAAAAGGGAAGTTACAAAACTCCGAGAGAAGGTCCTTGGACAATTTTGATACTTTCCATATCCCGTAAGTAACACTGATGTAACTTACGATATTTGGGAAGTATCTAAAATTTTTTTTTGTGGCCTTGAGAGCACCCATACAAGGACTGAACATTCACGACACCAAACTTTGGAAACATACACCAGACTTCGCCTACCAAGCAAATATTAAAGTCAAACTATTAGCATACGCAGACGACTTAATTGTCTTTATCAGGAATTTAGAAGAATGGACATTACTTCAAGATCTCCTAAATACTTATGGCCAAGCATCCAATGCCAGGATAAATCTTTCCAAGACTACCATGGTATCAATGTCGGGTAAAACACACTCCATCTGGACAACTTTGACTACACAAACTGGCATTAATTGGGACGATTCAAGACATCCATCACCAGCTATTTACTTGGGTTATCCTTTATATACCAGTGAATTCCAACTGCATGCTTTTCTTGACAATCTATCAACGAAGATACAAATCCAAATCGAAATCTTACGAAGTCGCAATCTTTCGGTAAGAGGTACAGCCATCATCGTCAATTCCTTGTTATTATCTCGCCTATGGCATGTCGCCCGAGTCACGATTGTTCCTACACGCTGGATACAGAAAATCAATGCAATGATCAGATCATATGTCATGCCATTTTATCCACGTCCATCTCTTGACTTTGCTAGCCGTCCAAAAAACCAAGGTGGACTGGGATTAGTGCATATAGTAGATCAGTTTTTTGCTCTACATAATGTATATCTACACCGCATCATATCACACAACCATCCTAACCCATTGACGGGAGTGATCAATGTGCTGATCCGACTACATACAGGACACAATTCAGTTATCCCATTCTTGATGGCCCCCAAAACATACGGAGAACGACTAACAGGCATGCCTCATCTACAACATCTGGCTAAACTGCTACAAAGACTTCCACCACTAACGATAGCAAATAGATGGTCACCGCGAATGACAAGCTATGTCCCTCTCTCACGTGCTCTCAACATGACATCAACTTCAAACAAGATTCCTATTCGTATAGCCCCAACAGCAATAGTTCGTGATATAAATCCCTTTTGCACTATTACGAACAGTTATCAATCAGTTTTCGAAATTAGTAACAAACATAAAAAGGTCAAAAATGCAATTAATCTAGGCCAACTCACCTGGGATCCACACATAGCCAGCCATATACAGTGGCGATCAGAACCGTTCGAATGTTTTCTTTTTTTTATAAAATCAATCATCCTAATAAAACTTACTATTTAACCCTATGATGTTTTTACACCAATTAAAAGCTCTAGAGAGTGACTTTCATTTCCATATACGGATTATCCATTTCCATTCTCAGATAGCCAATGATTGATGCTCAAAGATCGGTATGTCATTCGAACAGTTATGCAGCGATACACAAAAAAATAAAAAAAATAAAAAAATAAAATAGATGATATCAAATAACGTTTATTTAATAATCAATCCAATACCCCTTTGCCTTGATAACATCACGGCATCGTTTGGGCATCGTTTCTATAACTTTTTTGCAATCATCAACCGTAATTGTATTCCATACTTCCTCTGTACGATCCCATAGATCTTTCATGCCTTTTGGTGGAGAAGAATAGTTGGTAAAGAGCCTATTTTTAACCAAAGCCCAAATATTTTCAATAGGATTTAAATCCGGTGACTGTGCAGGCCATTCCATTAATGAAAAAGGCTGATTTTCCAAGTATTCCTTGATCACTTTGGCTGTGTGCTTTGGATCATTGTCCTGTTGGAAGATCATTTTGCTCTGATCCATGCCATACCACTTGAAGGTATCTACCAATTCATGCTCCAAGATAGCCTGATAGAGTTCCTTGTCCAAAATGGTATCAATCTTGGCCATGTATCCAGGTCCATCATAAGAAATGCACCCCCAAATCTTGATGTTACCACCTCCATGCTTGATTGTTTGCTTCACATGCTTGGGTTGAAGCTTCTCATCTGCCCTTTTCCAAGCATAACGATGCCCATCTGACCCAAAGCGATTGATTTTGGTCTCATCCGACCAAACAACACGTCTCCAATCATCCATCGTCCAGTCTTTGTGGGTTTTTGCCCATGCCAAACGCGCCTTGATATTTTTAGCACTAAGCAAAGGCTTCTTCGGCTTGACAATAGATACCAATCCTTGTTCCCTGAGGGCTCTACGGATAGTAGAGGTACTAACAGCAACATCCAGTTCATCCTTCAATGCCTTACGAACTTGCGTGGCACTTGATTTGCCATCCTTGGTCACTTGGCGAACACAAAAGGACTTTTCCCTATCACTGAGCTTGGATACAGCACCACCAACAGCCTTGGGTATACCCCTTTCAACGCCAACAGAGTACTTGTGGATGGTACTGACGCTTACACCAACATCCTTGGCTATCTGACGAATTGATTTACCTTGTTTGAGAGAGTGGATGATTTGTTGTTTGATGGAATTATCGATGGGACGCATGATGATGGTAACTTACTGGTGTATGATCACTATTGGTATAAAAAAATAAAAAAAAGTATAATTTTACCTGATGGTTTGAACTAGGAAAGTGCGAAAAGGATTTATTCTTTCATTTTACGGCTTGTTTTATGCTTAAATATGGTTTTATCCCAAGTTGTGGTACTTCCTTGGAAGTGCATCATAACTGTTCGAATGGACTATCGATCTTCATGCATCAATCATTCACGATCTGAGAATGGAAACGGGCCATCCATATATGGAAATGAAAGTCACTTTCTAGAGCTTTTTATTGGTGTAAAAACATCATAGGGTTAAATAGTAAGTTTTGTGGTATTTGTATGAGTCTTAATATGTAACGAGACAAAACGTAAGAATTTTATTAATAAAACTTAGTTAAAGAGAAAAAGGAACAAGTCCTATAAAAAACTCTTTTTATAAATAAACTATCAGATTACTCTGTAATCTGATCTCCACTATCGGATTATCAATAATCTAAACTCTAATTTGGATCTTTAAGTGTTGAATTACCACAAGTTTTATTAGGATGATTGATTTTATAAAAAAAAAGAAAACATTCGAACGGTTCTGATCGCCACTGTACTTCTAATATTCAAAGTAGATATATGGATGTTGTTGATCATGGGTTTTGAGGTGATATGTGTTTTTGTTTGTTTTTAGGGGTTTGAAGAAAGGGAAATAAAATAGAATAGAATAGAATAAAATGGAATAAAATAAAATAAAATAAAATAAAATAAAATAAAATAAAATAAAATAAAATAAAATAAAATAAAATAAAATAAAATAAAATAAAATAAAATTGAAAACAAACTACTTTACTTTCTTGGGGAAGAAGTAGTCAAAGTATTGAGCCTCGATTTCCTTTGTGATGCCGTTGAAGAGAGAGGAACTATAGTGGTTGTCGAGACTGTTGTGGTTTGTGGTGCAAGTCTTCTGTATGTTTTGGATGAGCTCAGTGCCATCATCTCTTTGGTTGAGTTAATCACTCGGCCTTTCTTGTTATCAATGGAAGATGATTCTTCTGGATCCACATCCATGGTGGTTCTTGTAGTGATTGGTGCATACTTGGAACCCTGAATCCCCAACACTACTGTATCCCTCTTTTCTTCATGAGAGACCTCCTTTTGGTTATCCAATTCCATTCTTTCATCCTCTGATACTGAGTTATGTGACGAAGAAGTTGACCTTTCTGATGATGAAGCCACTGGTAATGGTGTTGACATCGCATTTTGAATTTTATCATTGGGTGATGAAGGAGTAGAATTCTCTTCTGTTGATATCATTTGCTCCTTTTGTTGTAGCTCTTGTTTTTGCTTTATCTGTTCGTATTGTTCGTATTGTTCCAATGCCATGTTAAAATCTTCCTTGTTCATCTGACAGAATTTGGCGGTATGTCCTTTTTCGAGACAGCGAGAGCAGGTGATTTGTTTCATCACTGGACATTCTTTGCGAATATGTCCTGCCTGTCTGCATTGATAACATACTGGTGGAGCACCTTTAAATGTAGCAGGAATATATCTATCCCAATGAGCCATATATAACATTCGTTGCAGCGGACGATATTTCTTGTCTACACCATCATCATTGGTGTCAAGGAGGATAGATACTTGACCTTCAAAGAAGTTTCCATTCATCATCTTCTTGATTTCACATACTTTGCCATAAAATTTCATTGATTCAAGAATACCTTCCTTTAACACTGATTGTTTCTTAGGCACATAGTTTAGAAACACTCTGGTCATGCGTGGTGGTTGCGTTGACCCATTAAGTCTGGTAGGGCTTGCCCTGTAGTTCACTTCGTTGATAGTAATTCCTTTTTCAATCGCATCACTTGCATGTTGACTTTCAACAAAAGTTACTTCTAATAAAAGAGACGTTGGGTACTAACAAATTTTTGTTATTTAACAAAAATTTGTTATTTTTTGGTGTAACATCTGACTTTTAAGTCCAAATATGGATAGAAATTCTTTCAATTTTTTGGTTATTTGCAAAAAAATCGACATCCATTTTTAATCTGTTTTTGGAATAAGCTTTCATCTAACCTGACCCTTGTAACCTTTTATTCTCTGAGTATAATAGTAAATAAAATTGAACTTCTGTCATAAATCGCGTCCTCGTTTTTTTTTTTTTTTTTTGACTTTTTCATTACTTTTCATTACTTCTTTTTTTTTATTATTAATATTAACTATGAGCCAACAACAATTTGATTTTGATATCACTACCCCCGATACATTCATCGATACTCCTCCTACGGCTGATGCATCCATCATGATCACTGAGCCTTCTCCTGTGCCATCTGTTAGAGGTACTTTCACGACAAGGAGAAAGATCAAGTTGATGCATTCCTTTAGTCAAAGGAAACCTTATGCTGCTGCCCGAGGCGACGCAGATGTCGCATGGGATCAAGTTGTGGACGACGTCAACGAAGTTGATGCTGATTGTCGTCCGATCGCGAAAGGTGGCGTCAAGACGATGCAAATCAAGCTCTTCAGTGAGTATCGAAAAAAGTACTCCTTGTCTGGCAATGAGGCATTGACAGGCGAAGGCAGCAACAGCAGGAGTGAACTGGATGAGGCCATAAACGAGGCCATCTCCGAGGTAAAAAAAAAAAAAAAAAAAAAAAAAAAGGTATTCATCATGATGATCGATGATGGATGACTCTGTTAAATGTTCTTTTCTTTTTTTTTTTTATTTATTTAACCTGAATGTACCTTTCTTTTTTTCTTGTGATAGTATGATGACTTCCTGTCAACCAGTCGCCAGGAAAAACGTTTGTTGCGACAGTCGCAGGAGCAACGGCAAACTGTCGTTAATGCTGTTCGCGCTGCTGCCCTTCGCGGTCAAGTCCGTCGTGCTGCTCCCTCTGCTCCCTCTGCTCCCTCTTCTGCTGCTGCTGATGGTGATGATGATGATGATGATGATGATGATGATGATGACGAAGAAGGTCCCCAGGACGACGGTGTAGGTGAAACGTTCGTGGTGGATGATGATTATGCCAGTGTCCGTCCTACACAAGCACGGCGTTTGTCATTGTCCACCGCGACATCAAGGGAGGTGCTGACACACCTCATTCAAACGTGTGATAGTTGAAGAAATAAATAAAAAATAAGTGAGACAAAAGTATATCTTTATTGAATGAGAATAAAGTGAGAGAAAAAGCTAACGCAATAAAAAACTCCCTAACATATAAATGACAGCTGTTACACAAAATGTTGATTTTAAGATAGATCATTCAGATCTATCTTATAGACACCACATTACCCCCTACCAGTCTGAAGACGTTTGAATTAAGTCCTTCTTTTACGGGTTCTTTTTTGAGGTTTATGATTTGTGGTGTGTTCCCTTTTTAATTTCTTATTGAATTGGGGTACTGCAGGTTCTTGCTTTATTTTACTCCAATATTCTTGAATGGTCACATCACTGTTAAAATTCTCTGATGGTTCCCAAGTGTTATGAATAGCATCATAATTTAACCATTTGACTTTGTAAAGGTATTTTCCTGATTCAGGGTCCAACTTATGTGCAACTATAGCTTCTACTTCATATGTTGTTTCTTCAACATCATTTGGTTGGTTAACTGCTTTCAATTGAGAGGCGGTATAACTTTTTGGTAATATATCACCAGTACTATCTTTTAGAACATATGTTCCATTCTGAGTTTTTCTTACTACTTTATAAGGTCCTTCATAAAGTGGATCCATTTTAGATCTAAAACTGGGATGTATTTTGACACGCACAAAACTATCTGCAGGGAAATCTTTTTGCATGTGCTTGGAATCAAATTTTGATTTTTGTTTGTTTGTGGCTTGAAGTGTTTTTTCTTCAATAGCTGGAAAGATAATTTCTTGAATTTCTTTCATTCTTTCTTTTACTTGTTTTTCAGAAAGTGGTTCTGCTTTACCATCTTCCTCATTATATTGTTTGAAATCATTTAGTCTTCTTCCAAACATTACACTGAAGGGTGTGGAGTTATGTCTTTTGGATACTTTATTGTTTAGGGCCAACTGTACACTTGGTACGAATAGGTCCCATTCTCCAACTACACCTTCTACGGCTTTTTTGATTGCATTCATTGTTGTACCTACAGTTCTTTCTGCAGCACCATTGGCTTGTGGATAGTAGGGCGTGATTAACCTATGGTCAAAACCAGCCTTTTGTTTGAATCTCTTCATTACTTGGTTTGCAAATTCTTTTCCATTGTCTGATTGCAACACGGTAGGTATTCCGAAATCACAGAAAACAGGAATTATTGCTTGTACTACTGATTCAGCAGTTTTATCTTGTATAGGACGAAGGATTACGAAGCGACTGCAGATATCAATCATTACTAGTAAGTAGTTGTTATTACGATACGTTTGTGGTAATGGTCCTGCCAGGTCAATTGCCCAGTGGTCACCAGGTAATTTAGCGCTTACAGGTTTATGTGGGTTATAACCTGCTTTTACTATGTTAAACTTTTGACATTGCTGACATGACTTTACAAGTTCTATTGCTTGTTCTTTTAGTTTAGGCCAGTGTAGTCCATTATTATGTATCGCTTTTACGATAGCTTCAGCACCAAAATGACCAAATAAATGCGCTTTTATCAAACATTCATTTTTCTCTGTCTCCGTTGGAGGTTCCTTCATGTTATTTTCTAAATAGGTCACGCTAGCTGCTCTTACTACTTTGTCAGTTTCAACTTTGATAAAGTTGGTAGATTGTATTTTTTCTGTAGGTAGATTACCCTCCCCCAGCTCTTTGTCCATTGGAAAAAGGCGAGATAAGGCATCAGGTAAGACATTGTTCATACCCGGTAAGTGGACTACAGTGAATTGGTAATCAAGGATGGTATCCAACCATTTGTTTAACATAGCATTCAAGTCTTTTTGCGTGTGGATGTATACTAACGCTTTATGATCTGTATGAAGGGTGAAGTGACGACCCCATAGGTGTTGATGGAACTTGTTGAGCGCGAAAACGATTGCCAATAGTTCACGCTTAGTGGTACCATAATTACGTTCAGATTTCGTCAATGAACGTGCCATGAATCCAATGTGACGTATACGATCATGTTTATCAATTTGATATAGGACAGCCCCGATACCAACATCCGATGCATCAGTAGCGACATGGAAGGGTAAATCAGTTTGGGGTGGGTGAAGAACTGGTGCATGTAGCAGCGCCTGTTCCAGGTTGCCAAAAGCATCATCATGTTCCTGTGTCCATAAGGTACCTAAATTACCCGCAACATTTCGAAGGCGATCGAGAGGTGCGGTAAGGTTTGATATTTTGGGAATATACTCCCGAAAGTAATTAACCAAGCCAAGGAAACGTTGTATATCCTTGCCAGTGCGAGGTTTGGGCCAATCCTGTGTGTTCGTTACTTTACGTGGATCCAAGTAAGTTTTGCCGTTAGTGGATACGCAGAAGCCTAACAAATAGATGGTCTTCTGGGCAAAGTGGCATTTTTTAGGGTTAAGTATCAATTTGACACGAGTTAATTCTTGGATCACCAACTGAACATGTGTTAAGTGGTCATCGATGGTTCGACTAAAGATGACGATATCATCGACGAAAGTAGCAACAAAATTACAAAAAGGATGTGGTGTGAACAATTTGGTCATCACCCGTTGGAATTTAGAGGATATTGGCTTAAGACCAAAGGGGCATCCACGGAACATGTATTGCTTCCCATCGACGGAGGTAAAAGCTGTTTTATGCTGATGTGGTGGATGAATTGGAAAGCGATGGAAGGCATTTGTCAAATCTAATGTTGAGAAAACATTAGCACCCTTTAGTTTAGTGAAGATGTTTTGTATCTTAGGTAAGGGAAATCGATCATCCTTTAAATATTTATTGATATGACGAGGATCAAGACAAGGTCGCTTATCTGTATATTTTCCTGTGATATCTTTTTTAGGTGCCATAGTCAAAGGACTATTCCATCTATTATCTACTGTTGATGGCACTTCACAAATGATACCATCTTGCAACCATTTATCAACCGTTTGCTTTACCTTTGGTACTAGAGCAGCAGCGATATTATAAGGAGCACGATAACAACTGACATTATCAGGTGTGTCTAAATATATGATTGCGTCTGGATGGGTGCAAAAGGAATCAGTAGGTATTTTTTGATTAATGTCTAGATCATGTTTTAGAGCATCAATAAAATTTTGTTGTGTGGTAACAGAGCCATAAGGATCTTCATTGGGTATTACTACATCTTTGATGGGACTTTCCTCATCATCTTTCACTGGGGGATCCCAAGAGAAACATAAACCGGTGTGACCTATGCCTAATAGATGCATGAGGTCAGTACCAATAGACAGATCTCTATCAAAAGCTAGGTTCATCACCTCAAAACTAAAGGTATGATGTATACCTGAATAAATTATATTCAATAAGGGAGTGTGACCATAACTTTGTATAGTGATGCCGTCATTAGCTAAAACTATAACACTATTATCATTATTGGGGACGATGGGTATTTTATGTTTTAAACAAAAAGCTTTATTAACAGAAGAAAAATTGGCACCAGTATCCAGAAAACCGAAGATTCTTTGATTCTCTACAGAAATGGCAACATTAATTTCTTTGTCAATTTGTGTTGTTTTATTTTCTTTTATTTTCTTTTGTTTCATTTTCTTTGTGATTGACTTACAATCTAAGATGTCGTGATGAACATCATCATCAGCATCGTCCAGATCCATCTTGTTGTTGAAGACAGAGGCAACAGTGTCAACAACATCTTGTTGAGCAGCAACACTCCTAGTGGCAGAGCGTGCCGTTTTCTTTGTGGGGTTCACAAAAACTTTGTTTTTGTGTCCAGCACATTTGTGTCCAGGCATGTAGGTTTCACCACAGCCTCTTCGACAAAGGACGCCTCCATTAGGTCCTTTTTCATACCCTGGTCCAGAAGTACGTTTAGAGGAAACCTTGGTACCTCTTTGCGTAGGATGAGCACGCTTTTCATGATGATCATCATGATGATGTCGTTTCTTCGTACGAGCTTGTAGATCCATACCAGAAAGGAATTTCACTATTTCGCTTGCCTCCATATGTAATACAGGGACGTACTTATTTTCTGTCGACGGCTAAATTGGCGGCTTCGGGAAATTTTTATCCGAAATCTTTTTAAGGGTGACTCCTCCTTTTTTTTTTTCTTTCACTCTTTTTCTTCACTTTTCTTTTTTTTTTTTTTTTTTGTATTGACCTTAGTCTTAGTATATCATTTTAGTAGTGTTTATTAGTCTTTAGTAGTTAAACTTTTATTCAATAAAGACTTTACTTTTATTGAAATCACTTCATTACATGTCAATCAATTGATTCCATCTTCGAATGTACTTTTTTTTTTTTTTACATGCGAATGCATTCCTTTTTATTTTTTTTTTATAGATAAAGTATGAAATACGCAAATACGATAAAGACGAAAGAAAATTGTGTGATACTATATTAGTGTTGTTGACGGTTTAAACGACGGAATTGACGCGGGTGTTGGTTGCGAAGTTCTTCGAATAGCTGAAGGTATTCCCTTAATGTCGTTTCCATTCTTGTTGTTATATCTGGTGACAAGTTGGGTATTCTTCTTGCAGCTTCCAAGTCTTCTCTTTGATGGTATGCACTTGTGATCATGGAACTAATCGATTGAAGCTGGGCATCTACATTAACGGCTTCAACAGCAACGTCCAACTCTTCTACAGTGGCTTGATGGTCGACTTGTACTTCAGCAATATTGCCATCATCATCATCATCATCATCATCACCAGCGATTGCATCCAGATCCATATTCACATCGGGCTCATCTACGAACAGAATAAGAAATGTAAGTTGTTTTTTTTTTTTTTTTTTTTTAGTACCATCTCTTGATTCCAGGGTTTCCATGACTTCATGAAATTGTATGTATAATCCCGTGTATCTTTTCAATATATACATATGCTTACATGGTGCAAGTCTCTGTTGAAAATCATCACAAGTGCACGATTCAATCAACGTATCATCATTAACCTTCACTCTATACAGGGAATTTTCATTTGAAAAAGATCTTACAGACCAAGTACCAATAGGATTAGAAGGGCAGCTACTATTATCACCATCTGGATTCGTTATCATAGTAGGCATTCTTTCGATAGCAACAATGGATGCAAGGTACAACCTACGAGCTTGTTGATTTTCTATAGGACCCATTCGACCGTCATTGATACTTATTCTTTCCCGTTCTGCTCCATTAAAATATTCGACATGATGAGTAAGAATAAACACCAAACGATCTAAACGTCTGTTTCGCAATCTTTGGAAATACTTTGTTTTCAGTTGATTGTGCCATGATTCGATATAATTGTTTGTGAACATGTTGTAATGGGCTGGTGAAAGGTACGCTTGACTCCATCGTGTCATTGTTTCTTCATCCTTAATCCATGATTCTTCGAAATAATCCAAGAATTCATACTGACCACTATACTCCTCTTGGAAGCAAGCAACTCGAGTATGAAATTCATCAATTTCCTTCGCCACCAAAATACTTCTCAGGCTGATCAACATTTCTTCTCGAAGATTAGCAACATCACGAGCAGTATGTGATCCATCTAATCGAACTTTCTGCTTCAATTGCCTCTTCCATGCTTGCATGACGTGAAAACCACAGTAATGGATAAAAGTAGATGGAAAGGCAGCTTTGATGGCATTTACCTCGGGTACGGAACAATCAATGGTGACATATTGAGGACGAAAATTGCTGCTATCGCGTAGATGAACCATCCATTGATTAATGGAACCAACAGAATGATCATTGGTAAACATGTATGCTGATGGATACCCCTTGCCAGTAACGCGATCTCTGATGATCAACGTGTACATAACATCCATGGATTTGGAGGAAATGCCATGAGTGGCGTCCAAGCAAAAGGAAATAGAAGTACCCATTCTACGCTTTTGATCTGGTGATTGAAAACCTAGGGCAAAGAGGCTGGTGTTGCTACTGTAGGCTTGTAAATTGCCAGTGAATATGTTGTAATTGCGTAAAGGGAGGACCCTATTTAACCATATTCCTAACGATGTCATATCATCTCGATGGAATTCGTACAACTGGTGTTTGATCTGATATATACGTAAAAAAAAAAAAAAAAAAAAGAAATACTCTTAGTACAAGTCCGATTCATGCAAGCTGTGATATCTGTAAATGTGCGTGGAAGCCTTTTTTTTTTTTTTTTTTTTTTTGCTGTTAATGACATGCCTTCAACATTCTGTTATAGACATCCTCATAATTGACTGGTCTCAAGCTGGGATTGCCATCGTTATTTTCAATCCAATCATCAAGTTGTCGCATGATGCTAATTCGGATGTTGCTGCAATTACCACTCTGTCTCAATTCCCTCGTAATCAAGTCAATCGCTTGCGTGGTCAGTGGTAGAGTCCTTCGATCACTTCTTTCACCAGGAACATGACCGCTGTGTCCTCTTTGAAGAACGAACTCCATTATGTCAGGTGTACTGGCATACTGAGTCACCTTCAAACTTCCAGAACAGCCGCATTTTTTGGAAGGTTTTTGAGCAGGACGTTGAGAACGCTCCCTGACTGGATACTCTCCACTTCTGTGGCAGTGATAGGTTCGACTGTAAAGCACAGTCGCAAGTTCACGTCTACGTTTATAAGTGCGCAAAACACACCACTTTTCACAACACAATTCCTGTATCTTCAATCGACAGGCGTCCCACTCGTCAAATTGAACGCAGATAGGAACTTCTAAAGGAAGTTCATAAACACCTCGTACAGTTGTTGGGAGCAAAGCATCGCGAAGGTTGTTGGCAGTGTAGATAGTTGAGGACATGTTGTTATTTACGTAGATATCACTATAGTAAAGAAAAGGAAAATATAAAGAAAAACAAAGAGTAGAAGAAAAAAAATTTTAAAAAAAGGGGTATCACTATTTATTTCACAAGTAGTGTGGCTTGGTGACGAAGTCATTGGTTTGTCGTAGTAACTAATCCACAATAAAAACTTATATCGAAGTGAAGAATATTGGAATCGTATCGTATCAGCGTTTCTCTTATCTATAAAAAAAAAAAGAGAAAATAAAAAGGAATGCATTCACATGTAAAAAAAAAAAAGTACATTCGAAGATGGAATCAATTGATTGACATGTAATGAAGTGATTTCAATAAAAGTAAAGTCTTTATTGAATAAAAGTTTAACTACTAAAGACTAATAAACACTACTAAAATGATATACTAAGACTAAGGTCAATACAAAAAAAAAAAAAAAAAAAAAGTGAAGAAAAAGAGTGAAAGAAAAAAAAAAAGGAGGAGTCACCCTTAAAAAGATTTCGGATAAAAATTTCCCGAAGCCGCCAATTTAGCCGTCGACAGAAAATAAGTACGTCCCCAATTTAGCCGTCGACAGAAAATACAGTGTTTCCAGAGTTAGATGGCGCATGGGGGGAGAAAGATGGCGTCCTTTTTGATTTTTGGATGGCTGAGTTTTTGATACTAACCTGGCGTATATTTTGAAATCTACTTGTCGCATGAATACGTCCAATCTACCATGGCGTTCTAAGGTACTCTTACAATTTTTTTTTTTTTGGAATGATAATAAAGATACAACACAATATTAAAAGACATCACGTATATTTTAATAAAAGTATGCTTTATTAAAACAATAAAAAAATAAAAAAAATAAAAAAAGAGCATCACATAGGACGTTTGTTCAAGCAATCATCAAAGCGGTTGATAGAATGTGTGATGAATCCAGTAAGATCACTACGAGTAACTAAACTACAAGCTTCAGCTATCCTGTCTGATAAAGTTTCATCATCCATAAGATTGGACCGCTTCAGTTTGCTCTTTGCTACAGACCAGGATTGTTCAATGGGGTTGAGCTCGGGGGAATATGGTGGAAGATAAATGCATCTGTATTGCCGTTCGGTAATCGTTGCTTCAATGTCCTTAGATTGATGTATTGGCGCATTGTCCATCACAAGATAATACCCTTTAAATTCGGGATACTGGTCCATAATATCCATCGTGTCGTTCAAAAAGCGAATATAATGTCCTGTTGTTGTACCTACTGATTTCTTTTTTCCATTATCCTTACCTACCTTCCTTTTTTTTGACTGAGACTTCACTGGCTTTCTAAGACTAATGTTGATAACACCTGTCGAACATATAGCTCCCAATATGGTATGCGTTTTAGCTCTTGTTGTTGCTACCTTTACAATAGGTGTTGTTCCTTTTGCTGACCATGCCAAACCACGTCTCATGTTGATATGAAATCCAGATTCGTCGATGAATATACAGTTTCCAAGAAAATCCATATCCGTTCGTGTCCATTTGATGATCCAGTCGTACCGTTTGTCGATATTGTCGTCACTATTTCTGACTACTGAGTGAAGCTGTACCTTTTTAAATGACAAGTTGCATTCGTTTTTCATAAAGTTGTACACAGTTGACTTCTTGACATTTAGTTCGCTGAATTGCTGACATAAACTTTCCATGGTTTGGTCGATTGCTGCCGAAGGGTTTTCGTCATAGTATTCAATCAAGAATTGTTTGTGTTCATCACCCATGGCTGCTTTAGGACCTCTTTTCTTGCAATCACCAAAGAGCTTGTTTTCATCTTCGTTGTATGTTTTCCACCAGTTCTGTACAGTTCGTGCCTTGAGCTGGAAATGGGCCGCCGCTGCTGCTGCTGAAACACAATGTTCGATAATATAGGTGATCACTTTTCTTTTCTCTTCTAGAGTATGCACCTCGTAGTTCCTTTTTTTTTTTACACTTGTGTAATTTGTTGATGTTTCATTGACTTCGCTAATATCACCATCAATATCAATTAGATTGTTGTCGTTGTTGCTGTCAATTTCCATTTGTACTTTGATATAAGATGTATAATCCACCTTAGTTTCCAGCTTAATTGTCTCGTCGTCTTCAGGGTCTAACTTCATGAGATCATCACCGTTTTCGTCAACTATATTTCCATTTCCATCTTCGTACAAAAATTGATAAGTCATATCGTAGGAACTGTAAAAGAAAGTTTATTCAAAAGTAATTTTTCTAAAAATGCGAAAAGAAAGGGCAAAAAACGCGACAAGTAGATTTCAAAATATACGCCAGGTTAGTATCAAAAACTCCGCCATCCAAAAATCAAAATGAACGCTATCTTTCTCCCCCCATGCGCCATCTAACTCTGGAAATACTGTAAGTACGTCCAAAAAAATATAGCGACTGTCTTTTAATTTCATTTATAGAGTGGATTGTCAAAAGGCAGTTTAGAAAACGTTGTCCAAATTTGAAAGACTTTCCTTTTCTGTTCGTTCCCAATTTGGATTACAAAAAAATGATATAGTCACACAAATATCCAAATTTATTTTAACAAAAATTTGTTAGTACCCAACGTCTCTAAAAGGTTGCCTCTGGTATTAGAGCCAAATCGGTTTAGAGGTGTAACCCCATCGATAATTCCTATTTGGTCTTGGATAAGAGTATACGCCTCCGTAAGCGTGGAGAATTCCCTTTTTGGTAGTTCAAACAGAACCGCTTCTTCTTCCAACGTTTGTTGAATGATCTGTTCAGCTCTATGGATTCTTATTTGATCCTTCAGTTGTTCGTCTTCATAGAGGGTCACCGCAGTATAGTGGATCTGATCACCCATTAGATCCTTACAATTCATAGGCGCTGGGACCTTTGCCTGAAGTCCCTTCGCCACCTTCTGTGCCCATGATTCATCATTCGCATGATGATGGACATTAATTCCAGGACTTGTCATTTTTGCCGTGAAAAAGCTCGGAATTGATACAGCAGACTATCTGGATGTAGTAGACTGTGAATATGTAGTTTTGGATGGTGTTTTGATATAAAATAGTAAAGTTGTAACGCTTAAATGGTTTTGCCGATGGTGGTAGTAATCTTTAAGCGAAAGAGAAGTGATTTTTTTTTTGTATGTGATTGAATCTTTATTAATGCAGAATATATATATCATAAATTAACTAGACGATTGATGATGAAGACACTCCTACTTCGTAGGAGTATTACATGAATGTCATATTATTCCTTAACATCCTTGTGCTCGTTGAGCCACATGGTTCTTCGTAGCCGTTGTAGAGCATTGGTAGTGTCCCATCTTTGGTTGTCACGGGTACATTGCCAATGCATTTGCCATACTACTAATAAAATCAATCCCAAAGAGGTTAGTGTTTCAGGATCGGTTTTTTCACTGAATATGAGGCTTGGCCAAATTTGTGTGACGGGGATGTTTAGTCCAAGTTTATATCTTGCAGCGTACCAGAAGGATTGTTTTCTTTTGCAATAAAAAACCATATGTCCTTCGTCTTCTATATTATTTTCACAGAACTGACATAAGGTATTACCCGAGGTTTCAGTATTCGTATATCGTAGTGCTAGTCTAGTCGGGAGCTTTCTAATGAGTAGTCTCCACCAACAATTCCGTACACCATGAGGAATCGGTAATTTCCAAAAAGATTTCCACTTCGATTTCGACATCATGTCAGCTGGATTTGGGGACCATGGAATACGTGGAGATGGTAATGCTCGTGTCGTTGTTTGTTCCTTTGTTCGCCAAGCATTTCGCAGTTGACCTGTTTTTCCTTTGTAAACTGGTATTATAGTCGGTTGCCTAGATTTTGATCCTTCTATTGTTATTGTCCAATGTATTAACGCAGATTCCTGTAGCCATAGGTCCTCTGTTGTATCCGTTGTCACTGGTCTATATACTGTATATTCAAAACAACACACACCTCCACACAAAGAGAAATAGCTCGCTACTTTCGATCGAACCTCTGTGGTAATTCAACACTTAAAGATTTAGATTAGAGTTTAGAATATTGATAATCCGATAGTGGAGATCAGATTACAGAGTAATCTGATAGTTTATTTATAAAAAGAGTTTTTTATAGGACTTGTTCCTTTTTCTCTTTAACTAAGTTTTATTAATAAAATTCTTACGTTTTGTCTCGTTACATATTAAGACTCATACAAATACCACATTTTTTTTAACGAATTCAACAACAACACTATCAACATGAACAACAACAACATTATCAACAACACCAACAACAATGACATCATGTCAGATAATTCTTCTCCTTTTTCACCCACACAAGTTGTGGAAGAAACAATTACCAACCTCGTCAACAACAATGTTGAAGACATGGTGATTGATGATCAACATCTCATCGAGCGTAGCAAGATGATCATCAAGAGGTTGAAACAGGATATTGATGATTTGCAAAATGAGTATGAAGAACATCTCATTAACCGTACTGAAGAAGATGGTATGGCAGAGAAAGTAGATGCAGCTTGGAATAAGTTGGAAAAATACCAAGCCTATGTGGCAAAACGTTTCCCAGGGGAAGCATCTTTTGTCAAGCAAGTAGCTGTTAACACAGTGAAACGCAATCATGGGTACCCAATTGGGGACATGCCTCGTTTACTTTCTCATGATGAAGTAGCAATCAAGCCTCATGGGCATATCTTTTACAATGTGAAAGAATTTATGGCTCATTTGGAAAAGTATTGTTGCAGCCAAAACATCAATGTGGAAGAAGAACACAGTTATTTCTTTCCTTTGTTGTTAGGTAACACTTATGGTACTTATTATAGTGCAAAGGTTGATGGTATCCAAAGGGGTACAAATGTCACTTGGCCAATGGTCAAATCTTGGTTGTTTGAGTGTGTCAACACGCCTCAACAAAGAGCCAAGAACCTTAACAAGGTTGCTGGTATGAAATCACAAGGTGATGAATCATTCCAAGATTTCCTTAAGAAATTCTCTGGTATGATTAATTCTTTAGAAATAGAGAAGATTACGGTCACGGAGTTTATTCTCCATATGCTTCTTGATAACATACCTAGTGTTTGGAAACAAAAAGTAGTGGATGTTGTCAATGTCGCGGCCAAGCCAGCACACAAAATGAGTGTGCCTGAATTATTCAATTTGTTCGAAAATTTGAACATGAAACCAGTGGGCTCAGGAAGTTCACAAAAAAGAAAATTTGCTAAGTATCATCATCATCATCATGAAGCTCAGCCTATTAAAAAATTTTTTAATAATAGAGACTCCGGTGTGGCCAATGGCACATCAGCTTCAAAATGGGCCCCCAAAGGAAAATTCATCAACAAGAATCCTGAGGGAGTGTCTTGTGGAAATGGTTGTGGTCAAATCTACAAGCCGGGACATAACAGTGTTTGTCCAAAACGAGTGAACAGAGTTGCTCGTGCGGCCATCAAGAAAAGTGATGTCTTGGATGACAATTTGGAAGCCATCACGGCAAGTTTGACGGATGACATGGACATCTATGATGACAAACTTGAATGTAAGGGAAAAAAGAAGAAAAACCGAACAGATGATCAATTGATCAAAGATGAAATTAACGTACCTATTTATGTAGAGAACGTCCCGATCTTAGCATTAGTAGATACTGGTGCAAATTTTTCTTCTTTAAATAAATCATTTTGTTTAAAAAATAATATTGATATATTACAAAGTCCCTCTACAAAAAATCCTATTTATTTAGCTGATGCAAAAACCACTACCACTGCCTATGGATTAACACCTAAACTAAAATTAGAATACAACGGCAAACATCTTACATTTCAATTTGTAGTGATGGATCTTGCATATAATAGATCCATGAGTATCGGTACAGATTTGATGCCATTATTAGGTGTAGGTCTTACTGGATTAGCAGTAACTTGGGGTCCACCTAGTAAAGATGAAGAAGAAAATCCTTTCAAAGATGTGCCAGTACCTAATAATCATCCTTATGGTTCCACATCCGAACGATCTACATTTGATCACTATATTAAAGAAAGTATAGACAAAAATCAAAGTATTCCTACAAGCACATTCTGTACTCACCCTGATGCCATAATTTATTTGGATACACCAGTGGATGCAGTTGGATATCGTGCTCAATATCCCATTGCTGATACATTGAAACCAAAGGTGCAAGAAACAGTGGATAAATGGTTACATGAAGGAATCATCACTGAAGTACCAAGTAATGTGGATAATCGTTGGAATAGCCCTCTTACACTAGCACCCAAAAAAGATTCTGCTGGTAATTATACAGATAAACGTCCTTGTCTTGATCCCAGACACATCAACAAATACTTGAAAGAGGATAAATTCCCTTTACCAAAGATCGATAGTATTTTTGAAAAACTAAAAGGTGCAAATGTATTTAGTACACTTGATTTAACTAATGCATTTCACAGATTTCCTATTTACAAACCACATCGACATAAAACCGCCTTCACATCAGTTGATGGTAAACAATATATGTTTCGTGGATGTCCATTTGGCTTGAAACCTATTTCATCCAAATTCCAAAGAGTGATGACAAAGTTATTCACACAGGCTCCATTCCATACATTTGTTGCCACATTCGTAGATGACATTGTGATCTACAGCGTCGATATGCAAACACACATGGAACACACCAAGTTGGTCATTGATCAATTGACAAATGTCAATTTAGTACTTAATCCTAAAAAATGCCACTTCGCTCAACAAACCATTTATTTGTTAGGATTTTGTGTTTCTACCAGAGGTAGTAAATGTCTTTATCCACGCAAAGTAGCTAATACTATGGATTGGCCAACACCTCGTACAGGTAAAGATGTCCAAAGATTCCTCGGCTTGGTGAATTATTTCAGGGCGCATATACCTCGTATATCAGTCTTGACCCACACCTTGGATGGATTACGCAATGTACCTGGACAATTAGGTAAACTCTGGACAGAAGATCATGCAGTTGCCTTCAATAATTTGAAGAATGCCCTACATGCTTCTCCTATTTTACACCCTCCCAATACAGATTTACCTTTCCATGTAGCTACTGATGCATCAGATGTAGGTATAGGTGCTGCAATGTATCAAATTGATCCCGCCACCAAAAAAGTATCCTACAATGGTTTTATGGCACGATCCTTATCACCATCTGAAAGAAGATATGGTACTACCAAACGTGAGTTGCTTGCCATTGTGTTTGCACTCAATAAATTCCATCAGCACCTATGGGGTAGACACTTCACACTCCATACTGATCATAAGGCATTGGTGTATATCCATACACAAAAAGACCTCAATGCCATGCTTACCAAATGGTTTGATACGATTTTGAATTACAATTTCACCATCATACACCTCCCAGGAATGGACAATGTTCTTCCAGATGCTTTATCACGCCTTTTTCCCACTGAAAAAGAGCTGGGTGAGGGTAAATTGGAAAAAATCAAATCATCTACGTATGCATCATCAAAAAATGATAAGATCATTAGAGCATCAACAACAACTTATCTGAAAAACAACATGATGGAACCTCCAACGGAAAAAGAAAAAGCAGATTTGTTGGAAAAAGCACATTTATTTGGACACTTTGGTGCTGAAGCAATCATCAAAGCTATACATAACAATGGTATACATTGGCCTAAACTCTATGATCAAGCGATCAACTTAGTGAAAAAATGCCCACAATGTCAGAAATTCAATATTGTAAAAACAGGATATAATCCACATAGACCAGTACATGCTAAATTACCTGGTGATCATTGGGCAATTGACTTGGCTGGACCACTTCCCACAACTGACAGAGGAAACAAATACCTTCTAGTCATGATAGACATATGCACCCGTTTTGTAATCCTACGACCTATAAAAAATAAAACTGCTGAAGAAGTAGTAAAAACCATGATCCCTGTATTTTGTGATTTTGGTATACCTAGAATCATACAATCTGACAACGGTAAAGAATTTGCCAATCAAGTCATGGAAAGATTCAAACGTAAGGCTGGATTTGACCACAGGTTAATCACACCTTACTATCCACAGTCCAATGGCGCTGCTGAAAGAACAGTAGGTACAGCAATGAGAGCAATCAAAAAGGTTGTCGAAGGTGTAACAGGTGAATGGGATTTATTCGTATATTCTGTCCAACTAGCCATGAATAACAAAATATCAAAAAGATTGAATACCCCTCCATTCAATATAATGTTCGGTCGAAGGCTGAATGATTTCAAAAACTACAATGAAGAAACTGGTGAACAAAGAGAACTAACAACCGAAGAAGTCAACCAACGGATCAAAGATCTACGAGAGGTTGTCTTCCCTGCTATTGAAGAAAAGACAATGAAGGTTATCCAATTGCAAAAGTCAAAGTTTGACAAGAAACGTGCACAAAGGGATTTACCTGAAGGTTCTTTTGTAAGAGTAAAAGTGCACGAAAAATATAGATCTAAAATGGACCCTCAGTATGAAGGACCATACAAAGTTGTTAGAAAAACACAAAGTGGTACATACGTCTTAAAAGACACTACTGGAGATCTCTTACCTAAAAGCTACACAGTATCACAGTTGAAGCCAGTAATTGAAGATGAAGGTAACGAAGAAGTTACATACGACGTTGAAGCAATTGTAGCTCACAAAAAGGATCCTAAAACAAACAAGTATATATATAAAGTCAAATGGTTAGACTATGACTCGTCGTATAACACTTGGGAACCCGCTGTTGTATTTGACAACTCATAAAAGAAACTCTATTTTAAATATTCATACTCAATCTCCTCTTTCTTTACTAACAATAGATTATATAAGTCACTCAATACATTGTTAATTAACAATTACAATCACAGCTTAATCACCGCTCAGTCAACAAGTTCTTATAAATACACAACCTATTTTTGATATCTAATAAAGACCCATTCAAAAGTTTCACTTTATTTTTTATACTGTCTCTTTTGTCTTATATTTACATTTGGATTACCAAAACATAACATTTTTTAAAGTGAATTCTACCTTATTTTATTATTATCATTATTATCATGTCTAACACTCCCTCTACCACTACATCCATCAACATCAACTCCCCTTACGAAGGCATCTTTCCTCCCGAGATTGAAACTAACAATCATGAGGGTGTCGAAGTCAACCACACGGAAACGCTGGCTAATGATAACATTAGTAACTTCGTCTCTGGTGTGAATGCTTCAAGATACGCACCTAAACCTCAGATTGCTAGTTTCATCAAGGCAACACAGGAAAGCTTGCAAAAGAAATCGATGGAATTAGCGATGCTTGGAGTCACCAACGGTATTGTCTACGAACAACTCAAAAGAGAAATCGAAGAGTTAGTAGCACACATCCAGCTCCTGCAAAGCACCTTGGATGTACAAACACCTACTCGTAGAGAGGTCACTGTACCATTCAAGGAAATACCTGCTTTTCAACTTCATGGGCAAACCAGAATCCGTAAGGACTTACCTGTGTTTGATTCTGCAAAGAGTTTCATCAGGAGATTCGAAAAAGTATTGGACGTTCACCGTTTGAACTTTGAAGATCACTGGGAGGACTGTTTGAGTTGGTCAATGAATGGTGATGAGTTGGACGTCTGGTTCAACGATAATATCAAAGGAAAGGGAATGAATTGGAGTGAGGCGAAGAAAACCCTTATCAACAAGTTTGATACTAAGGATCGTCGCATTCTAAGTGCATTGTCAGTTTGTAATATAACCATGGAAGAGAGAGAAACAGTCATTGATTTTGGCTTACGTTTTCAATCCACTTACCGTGATGCAGGCTGGGAAGACAATGAGTTCATGGCCATTCTATGCTTGAAGGCATTACCTAAGGCATTGCAATATAATGTGTTAGTTGCATACCAAGCTAGACCAAATGGTAAGAATGACTTACCTGCTACTGCTGATGAAGTGTTACACTTGGCAAATAAAATGTCGAGTCAAAAGCGCGCGTTTTCAGGTATGGAACAACCACAAGAAAGAACAAGCAAAAAGGCCAAAACAAAGGTCAACAAAAAGGCTTATTTCTGTGACATACACAAATACAACGCAAGCCACACCACAGAACACTGCAAGGCAAGACAGGTAAGTGTTACAGCATCAGCGCCTAAGGGTAACACGATGAATAACAACAACAACACCAAACTTTGCTACCATTGCAAAAAAGAACCTTACTTTAGAGGACACCGTTGCAATGAAATGTTGGAAAAAAGGAATCAAACCAATGTAAAGACCATCACAGCTGCTCCTACTCAACACCCAGCAGATGCAGCTCTTAAGGACTTGGATGTAACCATGCAATCAGTTGCAATCAACGCATACAATGATGCTATGGAAGGTAATCATAAAAATATTAATATGATATCTCACAAACACCCTAATAACAATCCTTATATTTTACCTTTACTTATACAGAATGAAAGGACATTTGCTTTACTTGATACAGGAGCCGACGTTTCTATAATTAGTCATCAATTTATAAAAAGCAATAAAATAAAATTTAGTCCATCAAATATCATTTTGAATCTTGCAGAGAAAGATAAAGTAACAAAACCAATAGGTGTTACTGAACGTTTACACATACAATATAACAATTTAAAGCTTACACATTCATTTCACATAATGGATATGATATCAGAACACTATACCATCTTGATCGGCAGAGATTTAATACCAAAATTAAAAATTGGGTTCCTCGGTCTTGCTTACAATTGGGATGATAATAAGGTACAACCAAACAAGGAGAACCAAAGGCTAGATGATCCATCACAACCAAATAACTCGCCTGCAGGTAATGCCGAAAAACAATCATTGTTTATGAAGGCTATAACACCATACATCAAAAAGAATCAGAGCATTCCAAAAACTTCTTTCTGTACACTTGATATTTCCATCGTTAAACTCGATACACCTACCATGCCCACAGATAGAACAAATCATCGCCAATATCCAATTCCATTTAAATTGCAACCATTGGTAGATGAAGCTGTACAAAACTGGCTAGAAGAGGGAACTATCGTCGTTGCACCTGTCAATACCACATGGAATAGTCCTATTACATTGGCACCAAAGAAGGATGAACATGGAAAAGTCACTGGTCATCGACCTTGCCTTGATCCTCGTCACATTAATAAACACTTGCAAGATGATGTATATCCTTTACCATTAATCAGTGATATCTTTGAAAATATGCATGGGTCGAAAGTGTTCACTACATTGGACTTAAAGAGTGCCTTTCATAGATTCAAAATACACCCTGATGATCAGCATAAAACCACCTTTACACATAAAAATCGTCAATATATGTTCCAAGGGTGTCCTTTCGGTTTGAAACCATTATCATCCAAATTCCAAAGGGTTATGCATCACATTTTCAGAGATATACCACACGTCCAAACGTTTGTAGATGATGTTGTTGTCCATTCACCTAACATGTCAGATCATATGGAACATGTCGCTACAGCAATCAAAGCATTAACAAATGTTAATTTGATTTTAAATCCGAAAAAATGTCATTTTGCACAAACATGCGTTTACTTACTCGGATTCTGCATATCAGATAAAGGACATGATCTTGACTTTCGAAAAGTAACCAATGTACTAGAGTGGCCACGTCCAACTTCCGGTCATGGAGTACAACAATTCCTAGGCATTGTCAATTACTTTAGAGTACATCTACCAAATATCGCGGCTATGACTGCACCATTAGATGCTCTACGAAACACCAAGACTATCACCGATAAAGAATGGACATTAGTTCATGAAAAACATTTTAATATGATTAAACAGGCTTTGAGATCCAATACTCTTTTACATTACCCTGATTTAAGTCAACCTTTCTACGTAGCTACAGATGCTTCCAACTACGGCATAGGTGCTTCCTTGTTCCAAAGGATCCAAGGTAAAGAACGTCACATTGGATACATGGCACGATCTTTGTCTAAATCAGAAAGGAATTATAGTACCAACAAGCGAGAATTATTGGCCATCGTTTTCGCCTTGAAGAAATATCATAAGTACTTGTGGGGTCAACCATTTACACTATACACTGATCATAGAGCGTTGACATATATTCACACACAAAAGATAGCATCACCTATGATGATAAACTGGTTAGATACGCTACTGGATTACAACTTTACCATCATCCATCTCCCAGGAATTTTAAACACATTACCTGATCATTTGTCACGTCTCGCTACCCCTGACAAATTGATGGAGGGGGATAAACAACCACTGTTAAACAAAAATAGGTACGCTTGCAAAAGACCAACCAAGCAGATGCAACATCAAATAAATAAAATCCATCAAACAAAACCAATGTTTGAAGAAAAACATTTCATACGTGTGATCCAAAACCAAGACGAAGATTACATCACACCACCGGCACATGAACATAAGTCAATCCTACAAAGATTACATTCTAAGATAGTTGATTGGATTAACAAATATAAAAATAATAATAAAAGACAAATCGAAAATACGATGAGACTGTTGATATAGTTTATTTCAATAAGAATTGAATGAGAGAGAAAAAAAAGAGAAAAAACTATTCTAATCCAATCTTAAATGACAAGAAGCTGAGATCTTAAAGTTACACAATAATATCAGTCTAGATACGACATCACCCCCTTCCAGTCTGTTAGACGTCTATTATATATTTGTCTGTATCTTTTAATGTTATAACAAAACATGAATTATACATCATGCTGCATGATTATTCAGGATATGGTTTTTTATTCATGGGAGTGATGGTTGTAGAACTGTTCAACTTCTTTTCCGTTTATTATTTTTTCTTTGAGGTCGAACAGGTTCCTTTAAACCGATTCTTTTATAATAATCAGTGATGATTCTTGGATCCTGGAAATTGTGATGTGGTTCCCAGGTATCGTCTTCTGGTGTATAACCTTTCCAACGTACTTTATATTCATATTTATTAGTTTTTTCATTTAAGCGATGTTGTAATATTGCTTGTACTTCATACACTTCATCTTCTGGTATGATTTCATCCATTGAAATGAGTTTTAGTTCCGAAGGTGTATAATTTCTTGGTAGGATATCACCTGTTAGATCTTTAAGGATATATGCACCTCCTTGATTTTGTTTGATCACTTCAAAAGGGCCAGTGTATCTGGGCTCCAATTTTGTACGTTGTGAATTTTTTATCATCACATGGCTTCCTTGTGGAAAAGTAAAAGTTTTATGTTTGTTATCAAAGTTCGTTTTTTGTTTCTTTGTTACTTCTTGCGTTCTTTTTTGTATAGCTGGAAATATCACTTCATTCATTTGTTTTATACGTTGTTGTATTTCTTCTTCTGTCATTTCTTCTTTAATACTTTCATCCCTAAAGTCGACGAAGTCATTAAGCTTACGACCGAACATTATAGTAAAGGGAGGTGTATTTGTTCTTTGACTTATTTTGTTGTTTATAGATAATTGTACTGACGGAAGATATTTATCCCATTCATTCACATTTCCTTCTATTACTTTTTCTAGGACATTCATAGTTGTTTTTACAGTGTTTTCTGCTGCACCGTTTGCCCTTGGATGATATGGGGTTATTAATCTGTGATCAAAACCAGCTGCTTTCTTGAATCGTTTCATCATATCGTTAACGAATTCTGTTCCGTTATCCGATTGTACAATCTTAGGTATACCAAAATCGCAGAATACATTAATCAGTTGATTGACTATAGTGTCAGCTCTTTTGTCAGGTATTGCCCGTATTATTACAAAGCGTGAGAAGATGTCTCTCATAATCAAAATATAATTATTATTTTGATTTGTTGTAGGTAAAGGTCCAGCAAGGTCAATTGCCCAGTGGTCACCTGGTAAGTTTGAGGATATTGGGCGTAAAGGATGATATCCATGTTTCGCTATGTTATATTTTTGGCATGAAGGGCATTTACTAACTAGAGCAACTGCTTGTTCTTTTAATTTAGGCCAATGTATACCGTTACTATGAATAGCTTTGACGATTGCTTCAGCACCAAAATGACCAAAGAGATGTGCTTTATTTAATAATTCCTGACGTTCTTCTTCTGGTGGTTCCATTTTATCTGCACTATTTATTTCAACAGATCTGTTTATTAACGTGTTATCGTTATTACCCCCTTCCAGCCTTGACATGCTAGGGAAAAGGCGTGAAAGATAATCAGGTAAAATATTATGGGTACCAGGTAGATGGATGACTGTGAAGGTATAGTCGAGCAATGTGTCTAACCAATTTGTCATCATAGGGTTCATATGTTCCTGTGAATGTATATAGATCAGAGCCTTATGGTCCGTGTAGAGTGTGAATGGATTACCCCACAGGAATTGGTGGAATTTATTGAAAGCGAAGATGATTGCTAACAATTCCCTTTTTGTTGTAGAGTAATTACGCTCTGATTTGGACAATGATCTTGCCATGAACCCAATATAGTTTGTTTTACCCTGGATTTTTTGGAAGAGGACAGCACCAATACCAACGTTCGATGCATCCGTCGCTACGTGGAATGGCTCTTGAAAGTTGGGGTGTGATAAGGTAATATGTTTTTGCAAAAGCTTTTTCAGAGTTGTAAAGGCTTGCTCATGCTTAGGTGTCCACTTCTTTTTTAGATTATCCTGGTTACGCAGTTGATTCAATGGATCGGTAACAGTTGACATCATTGGAATATGATCTCGGAAATAGTTGACTACACCAAGAAATCTTTGAAGGTCTTTGCCTGTTTGCGGTGTTGGCCACATGTCAATATTTTGCAGTTTGCGTTCATCAAGTGATCGTCCATTTTCTGAAATAGAGAATCCAAGTAAGTATACGGATTTTTGTGCAAAATGACATTTGTCTGGATTGAGTAGTAGGTTAACGGCAGTTAACTTATCAATTATAGTTTTAACATGTAATTGATGATTTTGCATGTTATCACTATAAACTACGATATCATCCACAAATGTGGTGACAAATGGTAGATCAGTGAATAAAATACTCATCACCCTTTGGAATTTTGATGATATAGGTTTTAAACCAAATGGGCAACCTCTGAACATATATTGTTTACCGTCTACTGATGTGAAGGTAGTTTTATGACGATCATCCTCATGAATTTTGAACCTATGGAAGGCACTTTTTAAATCAAGGGTACTAAATACTTTGGCACCACTCAATTTTGTGAAGATATCACTTATTAATGGTAAAGGATAACGATCATCAGGTAAATACTTATTAATATGACGAGGATCCAAACATGG